TGGAAATAATGGAACAGTATTTCAGTGACAAATTGATTTAAAAAAAATACAGAAGTCTGTCAGAACATTTCTAAATTTAAATAAATTTAAAATACTACTAAATTTAAATAAATTTAAAATTTAGTACTGGACTGATATACATTCGTATTTTTTTAATTTGACGTGTAGATCGCAGTTGAGTCTTAGATAATAAGACGCATTTGTATGTAGAACGACCCTCTTCGAATAGATTATTAGTGTGCAGAATATATGCTATTTAAATTCTGCACAAAGTATTTGCATTGACTTCTGTCTATAATACAGACCTTGCTTAATCATATGGTAATTAGCGCTCGTGAATGCTAAACTGACAAGTATTGATATGGTGAACAGTCACTAGCTATTGGCATCATTATATCTGCTATCAATAGTTTATATGTATTTGTAAGATTTGACTGCATTATTTAATGAGATGTAGTCTAAAAGCTACTTAGAATTATGAGAGTTGTTTCAATAATCAATTTCTGTTGGTCAAGAAAAGAGGGAACGCCGTGTAATCGACTGTTTTATTAAAAAATAAGATATTAACCCGCATTGCGGCCTACAATTAATTACAATGAAATACGTAAGCGAATACATTCTGCTACTTTATCGATTGTTATACAGTCATCTTTATTTCCCATCCCTGTTGTAATAGTCCACAATAACATTTAATATTCAAATTATGAAAACCAAAAACCATTTCAATAAGCTTCTAGTCAGGGGTGTCAGCCACAGAAGAACCTTCATACAAATACGATATTTTTGTATATTTTCCCTACAAGTACATTATTATCCCCGTACAAGTTTATGTTCTAGGAAAATCGCACAAAATACTATACGAATTAAAGACTAAATTGAGAATTTACAGGATTTATCAGTTTTTAATATTTTTAGAAGAGGTTAAGTGTTTTAAGGTTGGCAACCCTGTTTCTAGCGCAATATCCCAGAGCGTTTCGTTCATTGGCCTTGGGATATTGCTATATTCGCTTACTGGATTTGGAAATACAATAATTTAGCCAGTGATTATAGATTAAAATGAACCAAAATGTTATATTTTTATACAGCCATTGGAATGGAGGAGATTGGAAACGCTGATTGGATTTACAGGGTACAATTCATGATCATATGAAATAAACCAATGCAACAGCATTCTCTTTTAGTATTAGAATTGAGATTACGGATGTTGTTTTATACATGATTTGTGTGTAGCATACGATATTAGTTTTTATTGCTTGTATATCAAGGCATATAATCGATAAGTCCTTTTTGCGTGCTCCTTGTAAATGTGAATACTAATTAGGAATTGCGATTAAAAGGAACAGTCAACAAATACATATCATGATATTAAATTATACAGATCTTTGTTGACTTAATACTGGATTCTGTATTTAACAAATGTATTTAGAAATATAATTCGGATATTGTTTGTAAGAAGCGTTTTTTTTGTAAATTAATTAACGACATTTTTGTAACCGTGTCGAGTTGTACCACCCTTGGGACAGTCGTCGTTAACGTAGGGTTATCTTCATCCTTAGTTATATAATTTATTTTGTCACGGTGACAAATATCATCCACCGGGTGCTTCCAATACAAATACTTACATACTACCCCACTTAATTTCCTCAGTATTGAAACCCTGCGGATTACAGTCCGACTGACTCGTAAATCCAGGAGAGTTACTAGAATGAACTTTTTCCTTTTAATATGTAGTGTACGTTGTAGGACTTGTTACTGGTTGTGTATTTTTTGTGCACTACCTATTGATAATAATGTAATGTAATTGTGTAAGTGACAAATAACATTGTAAATATCATTTTCACTGTGATATTTATACCATTTTCTTACGGTCGTATTTATATGTAAATGTCGGAACAATACATGACAAATGATGTGAAACTTTAAACTTAAGCGCGCACGGGTGATATTTGAATGATAATTTCTTGGTCTTACCTTCTAAAAAGTAGCATGTGTGAATACAATAGCAAAGAGTAGCTTCTCTCATTTTATAAGCTTTTATTCTCTCACTTCTGCATGTAACGTGAGCGCTAGCGGAAGAACAGTTCCGTCACACTTAAAAAGAAATAGTACACAGTGACAAATTCATGCTCGTAAAAAATGTAAGGCTAACCTCAATTTCCGACAAGGGAGTTAGACTACACTCATATTATTAGGTTCCATCCAGACGAACCGTGCCGACGACGCCGTTCGATTGGCGTATTGGTTGTTAGACCCCGCCCCCTTTGGAAATAAGCCAATCGAATGGCGTCGTCGGCAAAGTTCTTTTGGATCGAACCTAATAACGTGAGTGTAGTAACCCGTACGCGCTAGTTCTATGATACTAATTAGGTATAGGTATTTTTACCTTGTTGCATGTTTTTTGTGCATTAATATTACAATAATCCTTGAAATCTGGAAGTGTATTGCACATGAGTATTTTACATTTTTTTTTTTATTAAACTTGGTTGTATGATTATGCATGTACCTATATTATGTATATATTTATTAATTGTACAAATAAAGTATTTTTTATATTTTTTTAATGTTTATTAATGCTTTGTTCTTATTGAGGAAGTGATTGTTTTTAAGTATTACATTTATGTCATTTTGAAATGTGAAAAACGTAAAAATGAGCCAAGATTCCACCTCGGGACATAAAAAGTGTCAGCTTTAAATTAGGTGTAAATTGATATCAAATGTACTTAGGCTAAGTTTCTCGAGCATCGTTAATATGTAACGGAGATCGAACAGTAAAACAATAGGTTGTGTATATAAATGACACTATATACTGATAGATATTGTTTCCAAGAGTTTATTTCCATATTTATTAGTTGTTTCAGCAGAATTAATTTGTGTTATAAAAAAATCTTCGTATTGTATAACAACACAATAAAAAAACAACTATTGGCGTACATTTATCTCTTTTAAAATATATACATATTGAATATTAGGAACTTAGAGTGAACGCGGCTATGGTGGCTGGAACTAAATCTGGATTTTATCCTCAGTTTGTAGAAAAGTATGGAAGAACTTAGTAGTAATCTATGTCCATTGTATTAGTGACACTAAACGAATTTCTCCAAGGAACAGGTAAAAAAATATTTGGTTTCATCTCGTGATCGTGTGATTGTTGTAGAACTTGCATATATGCTGGAATACATAGTATTGCATGTTTGTGTAAGGTAATCTGTGGTAAAACGTACAGGTGATCATGCAGTACTTTGTGAACAAGTCTCATATTTGTCTAAGCGTTCAGTTAAGAAGATTTAATTAACAGTTACTTTTATTTTAATGAAATTCCTTGGAGAAGATCGGTTGGTGACTATTACGAAATTACCTATTAGTATACTCTTTACTACTAATCTTGTAAAATATATGTAAACGATTGTTTTCTGTCTGTATGTTGATTAAATTAGAATATTTTCTTGGTGCTCCCGATATTTCGTACTTGTACACAACAATTTAATTATTCTCACTATTCAGTATTGAACGTCTGTAATTTGGTTTAGTTGTTAATACAATCCATCACTGTTACACGTTATTTTTTGTATTTTTCTCGAATAGCAACATAAAAATTGTATGAATTAGATCATAATTATAGTTCTTTTTAAATGAATTTGAGATAAATTAGTCCTTCGATTTAAATAGATGCTAATTAGATATTTTTTTTTTGTAATTTTGTTTATTTAAAACTAGTAGTTGCAAGTATTATAAATGGTTAAGAACATAATAATAGACGAGTAAGTTATATGTCGAAACTGTAATATTAGACTTTTTTATATGATCCCCTGAACACCGTAAAAGAAATGAGAGAAAAATAAAAATCATTGATTTTTAAAATGTTTATCATTTATTACATACCTGTTCCGCAGAAGTCTGTTTACAATTTGTAAAAAAGTAATGTGATAGGTATCAAGGAGATTTTTTATTGTAGTAATTTTGATAAAAGCTATAACAGAATATCACAGAGATACCGTTATGTCTCCATTAGTTTAATTTTATTAGAAGCGCAATTATAACTTTAGCTTTTAATGCCGCATTAAATTATAAGATAAAACATGTTATTATCGAGACAAAGATGATTAGTATTATTATTATGTTGAGAAACAATTTGTTACTTTATTTATTCGGATGAAAACTATATTATTATTTTTTAACATTACTTGTTAAAAAATATTAATTTTATCCTATGTTATTTGACAATATTCGAAGTTACTGTACTCACAATAAACACTATGTACGTAGCATTAGAGTAGAAATTATTACAGTACTATTTTCAGATGCTCCAATCACTTAGATATTGATTGCAATTCTGGACTACGCAATTGTATCACGAGGACGGACATAAGCTGTTTTAAAAAAAAATCTTATAAAATAATAATAGACAAGATCGCAGGTAGTAGTAGTAATAGTAGATTATTCTGCAGTTTTATCTGTTTTTTTTTTTAATAAAAGTGCTACTTTTGTTCTTAAGACTGTGTTACCATTAGCAATAGAATAGGTAGATTACTATTACATGCGATATCTTCTATTATTTTATAATACATTTTTTTAATATAACCTATGTCTATCCTCGTCATGCAATCTATATTCATATCTAAAGGTATTAGGAAACGTTCAGCCATTAGGCATGAAAAGCTTACAGACATACTTTGGGATTAATAATATTAGAATTGATACAATCCTATTAATATTATAAACGTAAATGTTTGTAAGAATGGATGGATATTTGTTACTCTTTCACGCAATATTTTGATGAAGCTACAGTAAAATAGGTTATTATTCATCAGAATAACATATAGGCTATTTTCAAGCCGTTGAAACTGCGGGCACGACTAGTAGGTATATAACACAATTACAAGACAATATTTTTTTTTGTTATCTTTATATAGTATAAAATGAAATTGCTTCCACTGTGTGTTCGTTAAATGCATCTTTAAAATGCAGATTTTAGTTATATTTATAATACATGTATATCCATGTGAAGCCGGGGCGGGTAGCTAGTAAATGATAAAAAAGAGAGATGCTTGTAGACATTTAATTCAGCAGAGCGAAGTTACAGAAGTGTATAACATAACCATATAGATACCTACGTTTTTAAAGTTGACGCGGTCATTATTTATACGTATCTATAATTTGGAAAAATCACGGATCTAGTTTTGAAGAAATAAAGGAATAGTAAGATATATACGCAGACTAAATAATAGCATGAAGGCAAGGTAATAATGATGATGAAAGGAGCAGCAAGGAATTAATAGGGTGCAGCGGTCTTACCAAATGTAAGTTTTGCGAACGAGTTTTATAAATTACAAGAAAATATGAGGCGCTTTTGTATACAAAGCACTCATCAATATATTCACATAAAACGGTAGGTGACTGTTATTTATAATTAGTAATTCAGTAAGTATGTAGCAATAAATTAAAAACTAAAATATTATATTTATATTAGAGACATTTGTGCCATTCTCGATCATTATTGTTATAGGTTTATTAGGAATAAACATTGTAGTAACGTTATTATTTTGCGTATATGAATCAATTATAGGCTCCGGTTGATAAGAGAGATATTCAAGAAGCGGGGCAGTTGATGGTTCCTGCTGTTGTAAAGTTGGTAAATATGATGAAGATGGCGAAAAAAGCGCGTCATCTAATGTATCTAAATCTAATTGAACATTTTCAGTTGGGCAGGCATTTTTTTTCGCCTTTTTCTTCGTAGAATCTTTTTTCCGGAGCTCTTTTGTGGTTTTACTTGATTTACGTTCTCCATGTCGCTTTTTCTGTTTATTACTAGGTGCGTTTCCAGACTCTGCTAGCAGAGCAGCCGCCGTTCTTCGAAAACAGTGTCCAGTATACAGCTTGCTATCAGGTAATTTCAAGTAATTAGCGATTTCTTGTGGCATGCTAGAAAACTTATTCTTGCCTATCACATGTTTGTAGCATTTACCATTTTGATAGCGTATGAAAAATCGATTGTTTTCAACGTTATTAGGTCGCAGTGCTTGGTATTTCTCTACAATGCTTTTGTACTCGTCGGGAACGGTAAACGATCGGTCCATTTTGGTTATAGAGTCGGTCATCTTAACAAACAGCAACTGATCAGACTGCTTTTTGACATCATTGACCGTAATATTCAAGAGTTCGTTAGCACGACAAGCTCCTTTTATTCCGAAAATCAAAGCTACCTGCGACAAACAAAATCTACGTTAAACAAACCTAAATAACTCACTGCTTAAATGACACGGGATTGTGTTTAGCGTCATACTTGCCGGTCCGATTCCTTGCACAAAGCACACATTTGTATTAAAAATGATTGTTTGTATTTCTATCAGTTATTTAGTACCCATAACACAAGCTCTGCGTATTTTGGAACTATATGACGCTGTGTGAATTGTCCCGGGTTATTAATGTTTACACAACTAGACATTTATATTTTATATTTGATACTAGAAATGCATCATTACTACTTGCTACAAAACTGCTAGATACATACGTATGTAAATAAAATAAACAGTTCAGTACTAACTTTTATGGCTAAAAATTCTTTGTCTGGTGCCTCTTTTATGAACGTATTTATATTTTCTACAGAAAATACTTCAGATGTCGTTGATTTATGTCCTCTAGACCATTTCTTTAGATATGATATCAATTTTGTGTAGTTTTCCATTTTAATTCCATTTTTGTTGCCGACTGTCGACTTGAGCATTGAGTATGTGCTCCAAAGAGTGGAGGGTTTCTTAGATTTGGCCAATTCTTTAAAATAGGCCAAAAACACAGGTTCCGAAAAAGATTTCACTCCTTTTCTTTTTTTCCATAAGGCGAAGTTATAATATGCTTTCATATATTTTTTCCAGGATTTTGACGTTAACAAAGGCAGCGGTGAATTCGGTGGGCCTGTTCCAAAATTGCTGCTGCTTGATGAATTCATGTTTGAAATAATTTGCTATTTTATTGATACACACATTAACCGGCAACTTATCATAAATGTAATATTCATTCAAACACAAAATGCATATCGTAATTTCAATTCAAAACCTATTATAGTCCTCTATAAATTGCTTTAAAAATGTCTATTTTGTTATATTTCACTCATAGAAATAATCAAATAAATTGCTGAAAATACACAAATCCCTGTTTCCAGTTAGATATGTAACAATGTAAGGTGTTGAGACCTCAACAAGTCTGAGAGGCCCTCTGGCCATCGCTCCGCGGCACGTGTGCGGCTGGCGCCCCGGCCCCAGTGCCCACTCCGCCGGCTCGCCCTGCGCCGCTCCACGTCGCTCCTGCAGGCTTCACGCAGGCGCCTCCCCACGCGCACCCACACCGCGCATACCGCCATACCTCATCTAGCTTATTTCGACAGTGACCGACACATAAAACGTTATGAAACCCAGCTTCTTCGCTGCAAAACAGGTAACTACTCAACCATTACCAGATTCCATCCCCGTCGTCCCGTTAATGAGCTCGTAGTGCTCGATTCGCGTGCAATGGTGTGAGAGCGCGGGCCGGTAAAAATAGAGCGCTAGAAATGCGGCGGTGACTGGGGTGAGGCAGAATGGCGGGGGTTGAGTGAGCGCCCTGTCAGGGGCCGCACCCTTTGATTCACTTTGTTGTGGTTCGCACACCGCATACTCCACCTGCCCGATAAAACGAGTGCATGCAGTCATTGTTCCTTCGTGCTTTGGTCCATTTACGACCTTCATAGTATTCACGCCATTTCCTTAAACCTTCCGAGTGCGTCAAATTGGATCATCGCCAAACCACAAAATGCACCTACATATATTTAGTTAGTATTCGTAAATTCATATAAATTTTTGATCATAATAATTTTTCTCAAAGATTTATTTTCTATTTACTCCTTCTTTAATTACTATTAACCCTAATTAGCCATAATGTTATCCGTGCTGGAAGCGATCGATTGTAAAATGTACATAGATAGTACATAGAACTTTCACGTCTAGTGAACTGCCTTGTAGCAGGCCGCGCGAGTAATTCACGTAAGTCGTTGTAACATGGGATGGGTTTCGCGTAAGACTCACACCATTGCACCAGGGGAACTAAACCACCCCACCCTTTCATGGGAAGCGAGCATCACGTTTTTTTGTTTACAACCTTACTGCATTTTTTTAACCAAATGACGATCAAGTAACATGAGTAGGTTTTTGTTTGTTTATAATTTATCTGTGGTTTATTCAGCATTAATGTTGTTTTTATTACTTATAAATTATACTTACAAGCAAAAATTGTACAGTATAAATCAAATCGGATGACACAATAAAAAAAATCATGCGTCACTCTCAATCACGCATCGAAGTGCCTTATCCTATTTCTATGCATCAGTTCCACATAATAAATTCAGAGTTTTAGACCATAAAGCGTACCGAACAAACAAAATTACTTTCTCATTTAGGTATATTAGCGAAATTTAGAACTAGTTATAATACTTAGTTAGCGAATTAGTTCACATCCCCTATTCGAATTAGTTCACTCTCCTACTCCATTACAGAGTCAAATATCCTTGAAGCTAGAACGGCAAAAAGAAAACAAAAAATTTAAAGAACCGTTCTTTCCTACCCAAAGTAATGAAAACATTGTTAGGAAGTAGATATTTTTAATTTATAGCGAGAAATTTGTAGTTTTTAATAGTTAAATTAAATTAAATAGTTTTTAATTAAACAAGATAATTCATTAATATAAATTTTCATACAGAATTAGTAAATCCAAACTACGCTAGTATGCAGAATCTCCCTTTGTGTATTTATTTATAAAGTATCATAAACGGGTTTACAATTAGAAAACTTATCACTATTGTACATTAACCATATGTATTATATTAATGTATAAACCCAACATGTATGATCTCAGATTATATTTAGGTATTATATATTAAAGTACTTTAATTAAACGTCTTAAAGTAATATATTAACTACTACTAATAATTATGATTGGTATATTGGTTGGGTTGAATGAGGAAAAGAGTATACGAGATCATATACGTATATATCTATATGAAGTAACTTAGTATATATAAGTACATATATACAGTAAATAATAGTATTACAATAATACAAATAGTTTCAGAATTAAACCAACATGAACTTCGCCCCATTCACGGGTCATATCCCGACGGCAGCGGCGATACCATCTATCCACCAGTTCGCCGCAAAGTTCGGGTATGAAGGGACTGGTAATACCGGCGTGGTGCAAGAGACCAGATACCAGAACACAGGTGGAGGCGGCGGGGTACAGTTTGCTGTTGCACCGACATCTAGCGGGGTTTCAGTGGACGGTGTGAAGTTCAGACAAGCGGAGAGTGTTGTGGTCGTCAGCAGTGCTCAGCCTGGCGCTGTCACGTTAGCTGGAATTGCGCCTTTACATTCAGGTATGAAAATCTTTAATTCCTTGTAGAGGACAACTAAATTATTTTCAGGAATTAGGAACTTAAAACTATTGTTACATTATTATTTTTAAGGTATTTTCAATCACTATCATAACTCGTCTCATGGACACCTTTTTTACCTATTTCTGCAGACATGCACCTTGCTATGAAAACGGTCTTTCGTTTTAAGGGTGCGATATGTGAACGATATTAGAAGTTTCGGAAGCATGACAACCTCGGTGACCTAACGGTTTAGTTAGTTTAACTCCTTGCTATCTGACTCTTGCAGGTTCGATTCCTCGCACATTGCAAACATTTGTATTCATGAATACGGTTCTTTGTATTAGTTTTGGTCTGTTCTGTCTTTACAAAAAATGTGTTAAGGTATTTCAATCACTTCTCTAATACCCATAACAACTTAGACTGGTTTGCACTGTCTGAATTGTCCAGAGTTACTGTTATTATTATCTTAGCCTTAATTCTGGCAACACATCAGAGATATTACGTGCATCATATGAAGACGTGATATCTGTTTATTTATACATATAAGCGACAATTGCCATTTATCATCAGACTGTCCCTTAGATTGTTTGCCATTTCAATGACATAAATATATTTCAGTGAATACAGGAGTGAAGTATCAGACAATATCAACATCATCCGTGAACCTCGGCAACATCGCGTATGGTGGGCAGGCGAGCTATGTACAGGCTGAGACGGTCCACCAGCAGTTGAAGGCAGAGCAGCGCACCGACAAGCGAGAGTACAGAGACGAGTTGCACCATGATCTGATGGCTACAATGATGCAGCAGCATCAAGGTAACATATATGATTTAGGTACTACCAACTTCGTTCCTATTACCTATAGAGTTTAACAGACTTAAGTTTAGATATCACTTTAGATATCACATAACCTTTGTAATGTAAATGTCGATAGGATGAATATGAAGTCAAGTCAGTTGGCCCGTCGTAGCTAATCCGCCAGGAGTTAACCATAACAGTGGCCACTTGCTATTTCTAATAATAAATTGATTATGCGTTATTTATGTCCCAACCTTTAACCGCAACAAGCTTGCAAGCAACCAATATGATGGTAAAAATGGATGAAACAAAGATACTTTTGCTGATATGTCTTTCAATAGTAAATAAATAACCATAATTTCCTTATCGCCTTACCAAAGAAGAATGAAAAGAAAATAATCATGATTATACTCATCATATGTAGTGACCCAAGCAACACCACTGCAACAAGGCACGCAGCAATTGTTGGTGGTGTTACACGAGCCGAAGGAAGCGGCAGCGTTGGCGCGGGCTATCAAGCAGGAGACGAGACCGGAAAGAGCAGCGGCCACCGCACCCGCCGAGTTCATAAGTAAGCTACACTACATTACACTAATAAATAATATATATATATAAAAAATAATTGATACTATCTATAGATAGTAAAAAATAAAATATAGGTACTAAGGAATATATTCCTTAGTACCTATATTTTATTTAAAAATTAAACTATTGCAATTGTAATCCCAGTTGAAAGAGTCAAAAATATAGTAGGTAAGATCAGTATTATAAAATAAATCAAACCATATAATATAATAAGAAATATAATACGAATAATTATTTTATTAATAATAATAACTATAAAAACTTTATAATAATATTCTTTTATTTCGGATTCGGTTACGGTTACGGATATTTTTTTATATCGGATATCCGATAGTTTCGGTTACGGTTACGGAGCTCCCTAAGATCCCTGATACTTACTGTAAAAAGGCATATTACAGCGCTGCCTGCTGATATCCATCTGGCTTAATTGTATATTTATATCTGTCTGTAATGCAAATAAATGACTTACTTACTTACAAATAAAATTTCATTACTAAATAATTTAAAATTCACAAACCAAAAATACACAAAATTCACACACACAAATAATCAGTACGGAAACTAGTCAAGTTTCCGTCACAATAATATGAATCCATTACGTAGTTTTAGCATTTTGTTATGCATGTAATACATGTGATCAGTTTCATGTACGCCAGGTATCGGCGACGTGACCGATAGCTCGACATGGCAAACTCTTGGTGGCGGAGTGGCAGACTATCTCTCCGCGCTGCCTCTACCTCTGCACCACTTGCTCAAGTACTCCACACCAGCCAACTCCATGACAGACGGCAAGAGAGACGATCAACCGACTATCGTAACGGCGGTTGCTGCCAATGCCCTGCCGTCCATGTCTTCGCTCGCCTCTGTAAGTAACTTCTTTAAATATCTTTTACATATTACATATATAATATCATAAAATTGTCTTTATGCTTCGAGTGTTAATGTTTCAAATAAAAACGACTGATGGAATTAGAATGATATTTTCACAAAATGTATTGTTAAATGTGCGCCACCAACAGGTACGTGGCGCGGAATGATAAAAAAAATCATAAATATTGTAATGGTAATAACATTAAATAGTGATATTTTTTATAAAGATGCCAACGAATGCAGTCAACAGTGTGGTTGTACAAACAGCCACGATCGTGAACCAAACTGTGAACGCAAACACAATGAACACAGTCACAGCGCCCAAGAGAAAAAAGAAGAAGAAAACCACCAAGGAGAAGAAACCTCGTCCCAAGCCGGGGGAAATACGACTTAGCACTGCATTAGGTAACGAATAAATTTTCTGCCGGTCATATTTATGTGAAAAACGTATGATTACAACTTAGGTAGGTAAAGTAGTTTTAAAGCGGAATCAACAAATCCATAAAGAATTTGAGCCAAAATTGAGCCAATCCATAAAGAAAGTCTTGCGTATAAGTAAAACCGACATTATTTTTACTGTTCAAAATAGAATAGAATAGAAAATCATTTATTCAAATAAACTTACATTTACAACACTTTTGAATAGTCATCACATTTTTTTTAATCTACCGCTCATTCGGAAAGCTGTCTCATCACAAGAAGAACGAGCAAGAAACTTGCGTGTTGCTCTTTTAAATAATTTTATTCTTTACATTTTTAAGTTTAAGTGTGTGAATACAAACTACCAATTAGAACTAATTCAATTATATCTTAGTTTTAAGACAAAATTGTACACGATTATTTCGAATGAGGATAATGCTATAGGTTGTCATATTTACTTAAACACAAGAAAATAATGCAAAGTCCTTTTTTCATCTTCAACCTAGTATAGGGCAAGTCACAAGTACCTAACTCCTAACCTGTAGAGTTACTTAGAAAATAATAATAGCGTTTACTAAAACAAGGCTTTTGATTTAATATCCGACTACCAAATTATAAGGGTAATTCCTTTCAAATGACTTTTAATTGGGTTTTTTTTACACAACTACGCCTACAGAAAAAGGAAGGCTATGATTTCGACTATTGGTACACATTGTTGTTCTATTTCAGATGGCAGCACCCTGTATTGCTGTCCAGAGTGTCATATGGCATATCCTGAGCGCGGGCTGCTGGAGCAACACTTAGTTGGACACACCATGGAAAGAAGGTACAGAAATACAAAATGAAGTGATTATAATTAACAAAAAAGTATTTAGAAGTACCAAATTAAAATAATTGGAATTGGTCTCAAAATTTTCGTTATTGCTTTTGAGGTATACATTATTAAAATCACTGAATGATCAGTCTTCATGATGAATTTTTAATCACATCGAGGTAGACTTTGACGTTGATTCTAGAACTACTTAATCTGGTACCTTGATTCACCGAGACTTGACGTGTCCGCATGAGGCCGAAAGCGCTTGAATTGCCATATTAAACGTACCATTTTGCAAACAAATTTAAGTGTCGAGACATCGGTATTATTTCAACATACTCTTATTTCAGCATAACATGTCTAAATGCATAAAATGCCTATATACTCACATATACATGAACAGCACTGTGGCCATCAGGTATGACTATAGTGTGACGCCCGGGTTGCCACATCGTAGAACCACAGATGAAATAATATTACATAGTAAATTATAAAAAAAAACTTTTTTAAATTGTTTTTATTTTTTAATTCCCCACTCACACTGTAATCACACCCTACAATGGAAACATAACTTACAAACATAGTGGCTTGGTGTTTGTCGTAGTTGAGACTGGGGTACCCACAGAGACGACTTTTTACAGAGTACATCGGTAAAATCTTTTATATTGTATATTTCTTTCGTCATCCAATCATATAATGCAGATTTTAATCTTCGTAATAGTAATAATAACGTACATTTGTTTCAGATTTGTTTGCGATATCTGTCATGCGGCGTTAAAACGCAAGGACCATTTGACACGACACAAGCAGTCTCATAACCCGGAACGACCCCACGTATGCTCGGTGTGCCTGAAGGCGTTCAAACGGAAGGAACAACTTACGTTGCACTATGTGATACATTCCGGTGAAAAGAGGCATATTTGCAACGAGTGTGGTAAAGGTAAAATCCGATATGCTTATACTATTTAGTAGTAAATAATTATCATATATATGTAGAAAGTCACGTATACATATATCCATATTTTGGGAGCCTCAGGGTATAGGACACCACCTGACATCCGATGATTGCGGACTCGATTCTTCGCACGATATTTTTGTATTCATGAGTAGGTACGATGAATAGAACAACTATTCATCGTACTTACTCATGAATACAACTACTACCACAGATAAAGAGATATAGAACATGGTTCTGCGTAGTTTGAGCCTAGATGGCGCTATGTATGTATAAATTGTCTTGGATTACTACTACCACAAATAACATAATATTACATACTACTACAATCGTATCGTTCAAGGCATTTTTCGATAAAAATTTTGAAAGTTTGCTACACTAATTGGCGTTTTGGGGATCTATACTGACGTAAGTTAGATTATTATCAGAGATTTAAAATTGTTAGCTTATTTTTGAAAATATAAATTTAAAGAATATTTTAGTTATTAGACGTTTGAAATTTAATAAGTAGTTACGACAATCAAAATATCACATAAAAAAAGGTTAATTAGTATATTTTTCAAAACCAGGTTTTTGATAGACTTGCGCATTACGGATTTTATTTATGGGAGTATAATTTATTAAAAGGGTTTTATTGTATATTTCAATGCCAGGTTTTTATTAGACTTGCTTTTGTTTTACAGGTTTCTACCGCAAAGATCACCTTCGCAAGCACACCCGTTCGCACATAGCGCGGCGCGTGAAAGCGGAACTATCGCAGCAGAGCGCGTCCGGTAGCCCGCCGTTACCACAGGCGGTGCCGGCGCCGACGCCCGAGCCGTCCTGACCGCAGCCCGACGACAAGAACGACCTGCTCACACTCATCGCAGCCGCTAAGGACACCTTCTGACTCGAGTAATCACAATACACAGATTGCACAACTATTAGAGACCAAAGCCTTGTAGATGTAGGGGTGATAGTTCTTTCAATTTAAGCACGCGTGGGTCATAACCTTTATTTGTATATAGACACATTGCTTTGCGTAAATTCTACAATCTCTTTGTATGGAAAATGCTGTAGTCTTCGCTAACGAAGTACCTACCATACCAGTGGTCTTCCACTTCCAAGATGAAATTGAAGTAGAGTCAGTTAGAGCTTGTACGTCATTAATAATAAAAAGAGGCGAGCTTATGAATTGAAAGAACTACATTATAAAAGTTCTAAATAACTCCATTAGAAGACTAAATTACTTTAAGAAGGCACCTATGCAGAAGGCTATGTAATGTGAGAAAAGCTGACAGTGATATTTCCTATGTGCGAAGAGTAAAGTGGTGGTGATAACTATTTTAAGAAATATTATTTGAATTAAGTTTACCGTAGCCCGTCTCTAAAATACATGAATGAAATCTTTATTCAAATAAATATATTTTTAAGTACTTTTAAATATAGCCCACCTACAGTCTCAAAAATAGATAATGTACTGAGATTCATATTTAATTATGTGTAAAATATTTTCAGTTTTACTATATAAGTAGAACTATGGAATGTCACAACAATGTCTCCCAAAACTTATTTTATTTCTAAAAACAATTAAAAAGGTTTTTAAGATAATTTCTTTATGATATTTTTTCTTCATGAATTCTGTTACTTTTTTCTAATCAAGAAAAGAATAAATCAGTTTTCAATATTCAAAGTAGACGTTTGAGATTATTATTAATAGTCGGATTAGATTGCTCGATTCTCGAGAACCAGATTATCAAAAGAACTAAAGTCTGCATGGATGTCCCGTTAATAAGAGAAGCCAATGATTATACAATGTGATTATTATCAAACCAAATTCGTTTTTATACCTGCATAAGATATTTTTTTCTTGTTTATTATTTATTATAAAAGCTATTTGCGCATTTATAATTATTAGTAATGTTGCACTAATATTTCGTAAATATATTGCACTTACGGAACGTAGAAAAAAAAGTAAAATAGAAAAAATGATAATGATGAGTCCATATTCGGAAACAGTCAGTTGCGCAGGAGATATTTAGGTGCACAAGCGGACGCGCAAACACATGTGCACACATAGAAAAATTACTGCACTATTAACCCCGTGTCTACATAATACCTAAAAGTAATCAGATCGCCATCGATTTTCTAGCTTTTATTCAAATAAGTTTACTAAGTAAGCTGCAGTCGTAAAGACCGATACGTCATCTCAAGGATTTAAGAAATAATTTGTGGTCATTTCAATAATTAGAAAGATGGTTACATACAGATGACTTCTATACTACCAGAGTCCCGAGGTTGAGTAGCCACGGAGTATGATAGAAACATTTGAAACAGATTTTGCTCTATTTTTTATTTTGAAGACCTTTATTGTTCTATTAATTGTATTTAATTTGCTTACCCTTAGAAAGGGTTTTCCTTTTGTCTTGAGATAAAATTAATATTAAATTTAAATAAAAACTACTTATAACGCTTACTCAAAATTAGCCATAATTAAAAAAATATATAGTTTTATTTTAGCGGTGAAATTAGGTAATTGACTAAATAATTATACTTGAACCGTTAGCTTTTATGTAAATAAATATGACTAAATAGTCTGCAAATAATATTTTTTGAATATAATATTAAACACAAAATAACTTTTAAAGAGAAATCTAGTTACCACTTAGTATCTCTCAATTATCTACCCTTTTTAGCTAAGTTAAAACAAAAACTTAGTCTTTCAATAATTAAGTTATATTTAAGGGTTAAATTTACAGAATGGATTTCCTCTTGGAAGGGTTTCGCTTACTATTGGCTCGTGGTGGAAATTGGTATTCATGTTATGAATGAGAACTCTTCTTGCACACTAGTAACTCTTTAGAAGAGAGTATACTTGTAAAATTATGGTATAAATTATCGTGTCTTACGAATATCGCAATAATGGAGCGTTAAAGTAGTTTGAGTACTTTATGGTGTTCTAGGTCTCAAATTCAGTTTCAGAATTCGACGTTTGATATTTTCGTCTTTATAAAAACATCAAATATATTTACTTAATAGTTATGAGTTTTCTAATTTATTTGTAATTAAAATAGTAAAAATATTTCACTGTGGAATATTAGAATGAATCGCTTTAAGATAATATTGATCTCTCGTTGGAGTTTATTTCAATTGCGTGATTATTTTTTGCTGTGATCGTGCTAAAGATATTTTATATAAAATTGTTACGTGTTAGGAATCTCTTAGTTTTTGTTGTGTTAATGGTTATTATTAAATGTTCTAGGGATTGTATAAAAATTTTCTTTATAAATTATAGATGATCTCGGTGATTCAAAATGTACCTATTTATTATAATGTTTGCGCAATACGCATAGCTGTTATTATATAATGAGTATGAGTTTATATAAATTGTAAAAAACTTTTATAGTATAAAACTTATTTTTTTAGTAAAATTACCTTTGGACGTTTAAGTCTCTCTAAATGTATACTTTAGTTATTTAATAAAGTACAAATCATTCGACTTGTTTGTGTCCTTTGGATGTGTAATAAAGTGGTCATTCTTCGTCCTCATCATACCTCGTTGACACAAAAAATAGTTTTAAAAATCCATTCAGAAAAGGTAATTGATACCTATTATATGAACGGAAATGAAAATGAAAACCTTTTAAAAATTGACTTATTAAAGACTTACTTCCTATATAGGCTGTATTTTCTATTTACAGATTATATATTAATAGATATAGAATGACCATTTTAGACCCCCGAATGTGTGTAGCCTTTATATAGATGGTTCCAGGCATGTGTTATGATATGAACAATATTGTTACAAATATTTTGTTTGCTCAAATATTTTTTGATCACAATCTCGATTTCATTCATTAATCGGTGTTATAGTTTTATAAAGAGATTTGTCATGGCGTGACTATGTTGTTTTGATATTTCCAAACATATTTGTACATATCTTTAAACAGTCGACAAATGTCTGGGATCGAATTAAGAGAAATTATAATAATGGTTTCCCATATAATAATGTAAATAAAAATCGTTAATATTGTGCCCTCAAGCTTAGACTACGCAAAGGCGGTTCCGTAGGATGACTTCTTATGCACTATATACCATAAACTACATACCTACCACACAGTATTGATTGATGTATTAAAATTTGAAAATTACAAAAGTGTCGTGTTTACTTTTGTAATTTTTAAATAGTCTCTCAAATATCCACCTCTCATTTATCTCCGCCTCTGTGGTCTGAGCTTAATCTATTCTAAAGCGATTTAATATAAAAAAGATGAGTGAATATTATAAATATAAACATTTCTTAAGACCAGCTACGTCTGCATTAACTATCGTATTTAAACCAAATTTGAACGCTTAAATATTTTAGAAATCTGTTTACAGAGATGGAATAAACACAAAAAAATTCAAAGAGCAGCATGGCTTTAGAAAATTAACAGGAAAATTTAAATATTTTTAGGCACTAATATTTTAATTGCAATATACAATGATAATAAATCATTATTTATTGCAGATAAAGAACATAAAAAAAGACATAACATATCGTAACATCTGTTATCCCAGATGAGGTAGTCAGAGGTATTCTACTATTGATGTTGTTCTCTGGATGGGGCCTGGGCCTTTATGGATATAAGTTCATAACAATTTAGATTTAATATTTGACATGTAGTAATATGCAGATGTTGCCAGTCTTAATGACGCCTAAGCCCCGTCACACATTATTCGGTTCATTCGACGGTTGCCCTGCTACACGCGTTCGATTGGCGGCATTTGAATGCTAGGCTCTCCTATTTAGAAATGCGCCAATCGGAATAGAATCGCCATGCGGCTGAACCTAATAATATGTGACCACTGTAACCCTGGCCACACATTTCCGATAAGAGTCGGATGGTTTGATCGACGCATTAGTTGCTTCCCCGCCATTTTGGAAATGCGGCAATCGAACGGCGTCGTCAGCACGAGTCGTCCGACTCTTATCGGAAGTATGTATCCCACTGTAAGTCTGTTGATAGCCAATTGTGCTTCCCATAATTATTCGCTTCTAATAAAGAATAAATATACTAATTCACATTAACTTGGCGTTTTATTTGACTATGTTAGACATACTCTGTATAAATATTGTATTAATAGTCAACTGATTAAGAGAACCATTACCATCCCGAATAGGTGATAATCAGAGATATTTTGCTAGGTATTTGTACTAGAATCCACGTAGCGAAGTCTACCACCCTCTCTCAGAATAATTTGATTTGTTATAATTTTTCCCATCACCAGTAAGACAGGCAGAAATATAATTGTCATACAGTTGTTTTTCTGTCGCCTTGATTAAAAGTAACGAGTTTTAATTGGAAATCATGATAATAAGCAAAAAGTCCACGGAGTTCTCATTGAATTAAAAATAATCCACTGAGTTACTTGCCATTTCTTCATAAAAAGAGAGTTAATATTAACTAAAACTGCTTAAGTAGCTATAAATGTATATGTATAGGAATAAATGTTGTACTATTAAAAGAAAAGTGTATTTGCGTGCAAAATATTTTATTTTTGTACTTTCGTCACATTTCGTAACTTGTTGATTAATGTCATAACATATTCTGGATGATGACAACATTTGAGGAACTTCGTAATGAAATATTAATTTATTGATACATAGCACATTTAGGTGCTATGTGCACTTGGGTAATTACGAAACGTAGGTTTTCGATATGTTTTAACAGTCGATAAAAATCTCTAATCTAGAGACCGGCAGTTTATTTTGGAAATAATTTGCAATTATTAATATTAATATTGCTTAATAACTGATTGTAATAACTCAAAAGTCTAAAACTTAGGAAATCGAGCCTGAAGTTTAGTTTTTAAACTCTAGTTCCAAAAATTTGTAATATATCGTGTATATTTATAAATTGAAATTTTGTGCAAATAACACAATACAAAGGGAAGGCGTTTGTTAGTAATATGGACTGATGACCCATTGCTAGCAATTTGTTGTTAGGTTTCTACGACGTTCCCCCCGGAAAACCATCGTGATAAATTCCTAGTGAATTTATCACGATGGGCTACCTGACCGGACATCAACTTCATCTTATCATCCTCCACTAGTGCCCCGTTGTGCCCAGTGCCCAGCGTAAACAGTTAGCGCAATCGAGAGCAACATTTCATTATCATCCGTTTAAAAAAAATCCCGTTTCATAAAAAAATATATATTACTGACTGGCGTCAACAGTAAGGAAACGCATTAAGTTGGTGTTACATCGTTGACGCATTCAGTAAAAATATGGCTAATTTTCGGAATGTCCCGATTTTCATAATTACCCAAATCTTCACTTAAACTTATATTATTGAAATATGAGAAACTTGTCCTTAAAATTAATACATGAAATGACATTATAGATATGTACAACCTCGCGCTTCTATAATAAAATAACATATTGAGATCATTTGGACCCAGTTCACACATTTTATACGTATTTCTTATACTTGTGCCATTAATTATGTATATACATTACACAACGAATGCATAATTGATTAATTTTAAAGATGGCGACATTTCTTTTACATGCGATATAAACGATTTGGTTAAAAAATTAAAATATTCCACATTTTTACATATAATAAAATTATCACGAGGCGAAAACTGTGTGTTTATATTTCACATGAGAATTGTTCAAAGAATTGCAATAAAATTTTCACAGAATATGTTGTTAAATATACATAAATATACTAAAGAAATTGTGTAAAATATCCGCCAAAGAGAGCAAAAATTAATTTTGTGTATTTTTAATATGATACAATCAAAGCAATATTATTTGCATAAATATACTTTAAGGTTTCTTTTATAATAAATACTAACGGCCTGTCCTGGCTTCCCACGTATGCATTACAAATATTTTAATTTCTAGGCTTTTTTTAATAATATGCAGGAATTATGCATATAAACCTTCCCCTTGGATCACTGTATCTATTGCTGAAAAAGGCATCACGTAATATAACGATCCAAACGTATAGACAATGGGCGACTTCGTTATATTCTATGTAAAGATATAATGAATACTAGTTCTATATAAGTATGTGAAATTAGTTGGCACACGGTACTATCTGCCCCGTAAGGGAAGTGGCGTGAATATATATATAACTTACATAACTTCTTAACTAAAGATTATAAAAGTAAGTAACACTGACACGATATTATAAATTAGTCTTTGTAAAAAAAAATACAATATAATGAAAATCTAAAGAGCTGTCTTTAGACATTGTGTTGAAAGTTTAAAATTATTAGAAAATTGAGTATTATTGATAAAATCACTAATGCTAAAATTAATACTAAATTTGTATTGAAATATTATGCATTATAAAATTATATGAATATTTATTACAAATAAGATTGATGTAAAACTAAAAACATGATTCATTGTATATTATTTCCATAGAAACATCTTAGCAAATTTCATTCGTGAAATTAAATAAATTAAGGTACATAGGTATTTTTTTATAGTTGTTAATCAAGGAGAACAACAAAATGCTTATTGGTAAGCGACGTATTTGATTTAGTAATATAGATATAATGTATGATATGAAAAAGTTCCAAGCTGTATACATATATATGTATGTCTGAAACAATTCAATTATATTATATATCATTCTTATACTGATGCATTACAGTTACAAACTATAGCAACTATTATTTAAAAAATATGGATCTGTGCTTAGACAAAGGCAATTTCAATACTGCCAAATATATAAAAGTTACTGGTTCAGTTACTATTAAAAAAACAATTATTTTCATTATCATTGTCACAATGCACATTGAATTCACATTACCAGAAAAAAAACAATGTTTTCTTTTAGTATACGTTAATTATTTAAATAATGTCATTCTGTCATCAGCACTGTCGTATATTTTTTTTATAAAATACTTGAACTCACTGCTTCAGTTATTGTACTCAGATGTTTACATATGTTCGGCTTCTGTTTGCGGGTTGATGGTGACTGCCCGTTGTTCTCCGTTGTCCATTGACATTACCATTTGGTAGGGCACCTTAATTTGTAGGGGCACACGTAGTTTTGTGTTGGACGGTGCCTGTCAAATAAAAAAATGTTTTATAAAAAAAACAAGTCGCGATTTGATATAATTAGTATCTGTTAGACGGCCTCAATAATCTAGCGATTTAGCACACCCCGATTTCTCATACGGTACAAATATTGGTATACATTAGTATGTTTATTTGTATCGGTCTGGATGTTTTCTATGTATATGATGTATGTATGTATTTACAAAAAGTTACTATTTATTTCTATCAGTGGTCTGGTACCCATAACACAAACTCTGCTTAGCTTGATAAGAATACCTCCGAAGACTTCTCACCAGATAGTCCTGGTAAGAAGTCAGAGACACTTTTGTATTTCTATACATAAGTGTGTCTGATTGTTTCTTACAGTTTATCTTAACTGGTCAAAGAAACATTACGACTAATCATATATTTGTCACAAATACATGAGAATAACACATAGGCTATCATTTCAAAAGATATTATGTAAATTAGGTGTACATACGACTATATGACATTTTAGCCGCTTAACTGAACGTCAAATTTATTGTATTAATATTTTTCCCTACGATCCATTTCAAGATACAGATTCAATTGAAAACTGGCAAGAAACTGAACTGAATTTCTTTCTTTTCTAAAGACTTTATTTACATGGTGTGCTTATGTAGATGTGTATGTCTAACATTAAATGAAAATCCCGCGCATGAACAACTATTGCCATGCACGTTCGTCATTCAAGTAATCGTTTAGTGAGTAATATGCTTTGCTCAGTGAATATGATTTAAAAGATGTTATGAAAATTAAAGTGTGATGCAGACGAAGTTCTGCGGTAGTTAACATTATTTCAATGGCATTTAATATACTTACATGTATAGTAATCTCAGGTTTGATTTCATTATTCTTTGGCAGCATGCTGATTGGGTATAAATCAGGCAATTCTTTCTTTGGCTTTGGCTTCGCTTTCGTGTGTACTTGCGAGTGCTTCTGTAGATGATCTTTGCGATAAAATCCTGAAACGAGAAACATTCACATTAAAAATTTGACCTGAATTATAAGGTACCACACTGTTATAGCCCAGGTGTACGAATGTGCGGCCCGAATGCTATTTTTTAAGACTGCAACAGCTCAACGTCGGCGTTTCAGTGGGACAAAACGACAGTTATAGTGTGACAATCAAATACGCTAATGATCGCATTACGCATAATTATAGACATTAAGATTTAAATAAATAAAAAAATTGCCAGGAATCATTTAATTACACACTCAAGACTCTTAACTCAGAAATAAGCGCTAACAAACACACATAAAAAATAGAATTTAATAGAAGATTCTTTATATATATAAACTTAAATTTAAGCACTGCTACAATAGTCACATTTAACTTTTTTTAATCTACCGTTCATTCGAAAACCTGTTTAATCACAAGAGTAAGAAACATGCGTGTTGGTTTATATATACAAGAGTAATAAATTTGAACACAATCATGATATATTAAACTGTAACCTAGATACTGAAATTTTTAAATAAAGGACTATAAAATGTGAAATAAGAAAATCTGAATTGTTATGGGTGAAGTATTTAATATAAAGTTGTTGTAAATAAATCATAGTATTACAATTCCGTTACAAAATTTTCTTCTCTGAACATCTACATGGTAAATAATATCGAAGAATGAAATGTATGATGTATACCTTTTCCACAATCCGTGCAGAAGAATGACTTGACGCCAGTGTGTATATGCAGATGTATCTTATAGTGGTCCTTGCGTTTGAACGGCTTGTTGCAGAACTTGCATACAAAGACTCGTTGGGGCACAGGCAATTGTTCCTCTTCGATTATAAGAGGCTGCGGCTGCCTCTGATCACCTTCATCCATTACCACCTGAAATAAAAAAAAAGTGTAAATATTTTTTAATGGATAGAGATTAATTAAAGTATTTTTTGTTATTATTTCATATAGAAAAATCTTTATTCAAGTAAACTTAAGCACTTTTAAAAGTTCTATTTATTTATTTTATAACTAATACGGAACGCAGACTCAACACAAGAAGAACGACCAAAACAACTTGCATTATGCTCTTTTAAATAAATATTGTTCTAATTTTCATTTGTAAGATTTCGTGTAATTCTTTGATATGTATGTTAGTCTGTAACACGACAGCCTATCGGATTGACAAAATAACAGATAAGATAAAAACATAGATGAGTGTATAATTTCATTTTCGTCCACCTTTCGTTCACATGAAAAACACCACGAATTTCACAAAATACCCTTATACGAACTAAGGTCTTATACGAGCTAAGGTATTATACCTATGCTATTTCACTACCAGAAATCACCCATAAAACCGAAACACAGCTAGCAAAAGAAGCTCCTGGCAGCAGATTTAAGAGACAGATCTAATTGTTACAGCCATTTCTTGTATTCTAATACTTACTTGTATGCAGTCAGATGGATATTTGTTTTCTTTCTTAGCCTCTTGGACAGTGTTACCAGGATTTACATCGCCATTCTCAATGCCTTCTTGATGCAATGCCATACACTCATGGGTCTCAAACTGATCGTTGCTAAAAAAACCTGCAATAATATTATATAATTATCACGGTCTAAAAAAATACGACATATGGTCGCGGGTTGATCCTCGCACGGCACAAACATTTGTATTCATGAGTATGATTGTTGTATAAATGGCGATTATTATAATATGTATTTATTGACAAAAAAAAAATAATCTATGTATATGTATCATTTATCAAGTAATAACACAAGCTTTACTTATCTTGGGTCTAGATGGTGCTGTGTGACAGTGTTGATATTATTATTATTATATAATAAAAAAAAAATACCATATTTCCGGTGATTACGGAGGGAATTTCGTACAAATCAGCCCTGTGTGGTAAATAAATGGCGATTATTGAATCGCCTTATGACACAAACGCAATAGCCTATTCGTGGTACCCTCAAGTAATTAGTGTGAATACGACCGCTCTAAGTCAGTGGTACATTAAAAAATATATAATAAAAACTAACAATACTATATTTTTTTTTTCGGACAGCACTAGAGTATAGTTCTGTTGGCAGCAGCTGGCCTTTACAGCTTCACCGGACGATACTTTAGTCTGAGAGCACCGCTAGGGGGTTCGAACCTCAGCCCAGGCTGTCGTAATTTCGATCCCCGTTAGAAATGGACGGGGGATCGATCGAACGGGATTAATAATATTAATAAAAATAAACTAACCTTAAACAAATTTGATGTAGATTTATTGAAAAAACTATTCATTCCTATTCTAAGGGAGAATGATGTTTTTACCTTCTTTACACAGCGAGCACCATATCGTCGCCTGCTGTCGCATGTGCACGTTTCCATGTACCTTCAAGTGTTGTTTCCTTTTAAATTTTCTGTGACATATTTGACACTCGTGGGGTCTATCAGCTTTCGCTGAATTTGGGTTTGGTCTCTCTATTAACAACTCCATATCGTTTATCTGTGGAAAAAAAACAATTTTTTTTTAATGATGAATATAGAATGGCGTCTCCGTCTGCACTAATGGTATATGCTTGCAGTGCACTAGTGGACGACAAGATGACGATGAAATCAGGTCAGTTAGATTTTAAAGAAAATTCGTACATTGTTTTTTTTTTCATACTATCAAATATATTTCATATATGATTGATTTATTCTGGTTACTCAAGGAACTATTTATTCCTTTATATCAACTTTACTATTTAATAGTTTCTATTGCAACAAAATTCTTAAAAATGTAATTCTGAACAACATTTATAAAAGAGCAAAACGCAAGTTTCTTGTTCATTCATTTTGAGATGAGTCTGCAATCCGAATGAGTGGCAGAATAAAAATAAATATGACTATTTAAAAGTTCTTATATTAACTTCATTTGATAAAGATTTATATTTCTATAATTTGAATAATAGTGTATCAATTAAAACAAATTATAGATAGATAAATATATTAGACAAATTATTTATTTTGAAATGTTTTTTTTACCTTTTGCCATAGCGAATCATCATTCTGGGCGCCATACTGCTGTATGTGATTCTTCATATGATTGAGCAGTTTCTGCGTGTTATAATATACTGAAACAAAATTCAATTTTATTACTACTGTTTGAATGAATCGTCAAATCCAGTAAAATATCTATGGCTATACTTTAAATCTTCATTCTGATTTTAAAAGAATGCACTAATTCTAGCAAAAGAAATATTATTTTTATCACTCTATTCTTAATAACAATTTAATATTCATCAGTACATAAAAACTAATGCTTAAAAAGAATTTGGTGAAAATTAGAATATTAATAAAGTACATATTACTTTCAGTAGTACGTAAATGATTTATTTTTATTTATACACTTTGCACCAGTTATACAAACATGTTAATTAATATAAAAATAAGTAGGTATATACAATTATGAGTACAAAAGGCGGTTTTATCGCTAAGCAATCTTTTACAGGATATAAAATGGTCTATGATTAAAGGTTTTAATTATAAAGTGTTTAAAATTGACAGATAAAGTAAAAGCTACATAACTTCTATATGAACTTAAATAATACTAGCGGACCTAGCAACTTTGTCTGAGTCATATTTTCCTCGTTTTTGCAACACTTTCATTGCATCTCCGCTCCTATTACTCGAAGCGTGATGTTAGAAAGTGATATCCCTCGATAAAAGGGCTATCATTACTTAAAGTATTTTAAAAACTAGAACAGTAGTACCGGAGATTAGCCCGAACATTTAAACTCACAAACTTTACCTCTCTATAATATTAGTTTTAGTATAAATTATCAAAAGAGATTTTGAATTAAATACAAAACAGTAAACAAAATATCACTGATATATATTTATTTTTTGGTTTGGTAGCAAAGGCTTCGTTTTACGGGATACGTAAAGAAATCCTCAGACTTACAAATAAACTAAACAAGCAACAATAAACAAATATGATTCGCTCTTTAAAATATAAAGTACGACCTACCAATTTACTATTAGACTAATTCTGAAATGGGGGTTGTTTTGGGGTGGGCTCAGAATATAATTCCTACCACCCCTGCCCTGTGAGGGCGCAGACTGTCTATGTACAGTAATAGGACGACGCCCATGTACCAGCGCGTTGTTATGTACGCAAATAACATGAGCAATATGAAGATATAATGAAAATAATGTACTCGGCGTATATATAAGACAGCCTCGGTGGTTTAGTGGTTTAAAACACCGTCTTACTTCTAAATGACAGTGATTCGATTTCACGCACGATGCCAAGATTTGTATTAATGATAGTGATTGTTCATATTGGTTTGAGTATTTTCTGCGTTTACGAAAATATTTAAGTACTTCTACCAGTTGACCTATAACAAAAGCTCTGCTCGAGTTGGAGCTAGATGGTGTTGTGTGGATTGTCAAGAGTTATTTTTATACATACTAGAATGTTTCAAATGTGTGTTGTCCAGGATTACTATTATTATTGTACAAAAGACTTTAAAAATTACCCCAATTATATTACGAAGTAACCGATTATCTTGGTATGGACATGTTAGGAAAAGTGAGGACCATGATTTAACGATAGATTTTAACATGAAAACAAATGGAAGTAAACATAGAAGAAGAAAAGACGGAAGGTCTGTGTGAAAGATGATATGCATAAAAGGAGAGTAAGCTCAGATAAGACGGCTTATAGAGCAGGTGGAAGATACTCCGCCGACCCTAAATGATGGGCTAAAGGCGAGTCAATGATGTAGTATGTCCTACGGTTGCACACGGTCTTTAATTTAAAAAAAAAAAATGGCGGGATCTACTTCTCCACACCCGCATAGCATCGCACCACTCGCCCAGGTGTTTCTTTTTTTGCTTAGTGTTCGTTCGAATTTTATTATATTTATATTTACTCAATTGTAAAGAAAAATATAAAAAGCGACTATGTGACCACCCGAATCAACTGGCTGCTCAATTACTACAAATACTTTACCCCAAGCGACTAAAAAGAAGCGACATTGTGTAATGTTTGCAGCATGCTTAAGGAGTAGATTCGCCCGTTGGGGTGGACACTCCATTCTTAGATCCCACACCCAAAAAATCTGCTCATAGTTCCGGGACTGATTGCAGATAAGAAAAGAGAAAAAAAAAAAACAATATTTACTCCACTCTAAGGGAAATGTATTGAACACACGCTATGTTGTTCAATACATTTCATTGTCATGTATGTATATCTGTCTCCATCACTCCACTATACACTTTTTTAACTGTCGGCTACATTTGAACTCACGACCTCATGGACGTAATGCAGGATAGTAAACTACGGTCACGATGATCAAAAATCCATACTAATATTATAATTGCGAAGTGTATCTGTCTATTGGATGCCTTTTCATGGCTAAACAGTTGAACGGATCTTAATGAAATTTGATATGAAGACAGATGATATTACCGGGATGGATTTGGGCTATTTATCAAAAAGAAACTAATAGGGAGTGACAATTTCTCCAGACGAAGTCGTGGGTAACACCTAGTAGCTTATAATCCATTCGTTGTCCCCCAGCTCCCCCCCCCCCCTCTCGTCGCACCTTTTGGCAACGTATCGGCCGTCCGTGATCAACTCCTTTTTCGCTTAGTGTTCATTTTTTTATAGCATATTGTGCAAACGAGCTTGCGACACACCTGATGCTAAGTGATTACCGACGCCCATTAGCACCCGCAACACCAGGAGAATTTGGTGGGCCTTTTAAAACGAGGTGGGTAGGGAAAGAAATTAGGAAAGGGATAGGAGGGAAGCGTCCGGAACCTCGACTCACCATGCAAAACGAGAGCGAATGAAGAGGCGTGGTATTTTCCGTTTCGAACGGACCCATTCGTACTACACTCATTCAACGCGAGGACACATAGCGCACTCTACTACTTAAAAAATTAACTTAATAAAAAAAAAGATAGCTAGGATTTTTCTTTTAATCCATTTTAAAGCGTCGTAGCGTAATCTTTAGACTTTCGACACGTTAAAAATAGGTAGAACAACTTACAAAACTTTGAAGATTACCATAAACAATGTGCTGTCAATTGTACCAAAAAATTAAATATACCTTAATATATCAGTTTTTATATAGTTTTCCTCGAGGATAACGCAATCAAACTAAAATTAATTAAATTTAAGGTTATGATATATGGTAATAACCTTGATGATATGGATGACGTCATGCCACTTATCCTGTAATTTCCCTGCCTAATCTGACCCAACAAGCAAAACACAGCAAAATCTGCTTGGCTATTGAAATAGGTGTGTCTGAGTGACGCAAACGACTTTACGGACTACTTCCTGTAAAATATCTTGAAACAGTAAAGAATTTTCTAGATATTACTGTGATATAAGAAAACTCGTTCTCTCTTATATTTATTACATACTATAAAATGAAGTCGGCGCCGCTGAATATTCGCTTATATTTTTTTAATTACGTAACGAATTTTAATGCAATATTTAACAATAGATAGAGTGATTCACGAGGAAGTTTTATATGTGTAAGGCATGCGTGTTGTAGTATAGCATACAAATTGTAGTATACAAGCCGAGAAATTCAAAGAATTGCAACGTATTCGTGTGTAGCCGGGACGGGTAGCAAGTATAGTATAGATTTCATCCGGACCAGTAAATATAACATTAAACAAAGCTGTATCGGCATGAATTCCTTTACAGCGTCAATTAATAATAACTGGTAGAACATAAACGTGTTCTGTTGGGGGTAGAATGGGCGCGCCCCACCCGTTAAGGGACTAGTTCAGGTATAGAGCCCTTTGGGCATTGTGAACCCGAGCTCCCCTCCAAAAGATAACGGTTACCTACCTACCTGATCAAATGGCGTAACTTATAATATTGTAACAACGTTATTTATAACAGAACAAAGAACAAAAGTAATATTAGAAAAAAAAATAACACGATTAACTAAACATACATAGATACAAATATCTACATTGATAGTAAATACTAGCAAGACATCCCGGCTTCACTTGAGTGCACATTTCCATAGCGCATGCAATGAAATACACTAAGGCATTTTTTACACCTTGCATTATATCATTGATGTAGGGGTCTCTATTTTTTTCTAGTAATAAATATGTAATTTATAGCTTATTATAGTTACTCTGATGTACATGCTATATTACTGTAAAGTGTCATAAAAATCCGTTCAGTAGTTTTGACGTGGATGAGTAACAAACATCGATCCAAACTCACACACTTTCGCGTTTATAATATTAGATGTTACTCAGGGATAATGCAGCATTCTACAACAGAATTTTTGAAGTTGTCCAGTAGTTTTTAATTTGATTTGTCGTATTATTTTAAGCTTCACCGTACGAAAAACTAAGGACGAGTGCAGAAGGCACTAATGGATAATATTAGAAAAAACAGACTAATGGGCTAATACTGAATGGTGTTATTAAACTGAAGATACTAGGTAAACATGAATACGAAGAATAACATAAAATATAAACCACTAAACAAAAATACGCAATAATTCTCCTATTCAAAGTTGGTTCAAAATACTGTAGGTATATCTTCGTTTTGAACATAAATATTTTATTCTACAGCACTGACCTAGTGGCGAGCCAGCAGAAACGAAACCCAGCCGACCCTCCTAAACCGTCCCCCTTCCATTTTTTGTGTAACATACGCGACTGTAACCCCTGTGTTATTAAGTATTATAAAAAAAATCTTGCTGAGAGTTTCACTTGTAAACTGGTTAATGTTAATAGTAATATCAGACGCGTTGTCTAATCTACTTTTTCCAGTAAGTTTATTACTGCGATATGACTATTTTTTTTATACGAGTGCTTACTTAAAAAGGAGTTTCTCAATTGTGTTAGAACAAGCGATTGCTGCGTTAAATTAAAACCGATTTTGATGATTCCTTAAGTCGATACTTTTTAGTTCCCTACCGCGTTGGTCCTATACTAATGTTGTAACTGTGTATGTGTAACAAAATCTTAAATTACTTATTACAATCTCACAAACTACGAGTATAGCTTTATTATTCTTCTATGGTTAATTTAATAGTACATTTAAAAGAGATAGATTTATACAATGTTGTTATCGTTTAAT